TACAGTAAATTCACTAGTGTTGATCCTGGACCATCTTCATCATTTAATACAGTAAATTCACTAGTGTTGATCCTGAACCATCATCATCATTTAATACAGTAAATTCACTAGTGTTGATCCTGGACCATCATCTTCATCATTTTAATACAGTAAATTCACTAGTGTTAATCCTGGACCATCATCATCATGTAATACAGTAAATTCACTATTGTTGATCCTGGACCATCATCTTCATTTAATACAGTAAATTCACTAGTGTTGATCCTGGACCATCATCATCATTTAATACAGTAAATTAACTATTGTTGATCCTGGACCATCATCATCATTTAATACAGTAAATTCACTAGTGTTGATCCTTGACCATCATCATCATTTAATACAGTAAATTCACTAGTGTTGATCCTTGACCATCATCATCATTTAATACAGTAAATTCACTAGTGTTGATCCTGGACCATCTTCATCATTTAATACAGTAAATTCACTAGTGTTGATCCTGGACCATCTTCATCATTTAATACAGTAAATTCACTAGTTTTGATCCTGGACCATCTTCATCATTTAATACAGTAAATTCACTAGTGTTGATCCTGGACCATCATCATCATTTAACACAGTAAATTAACTAGTGTTGATCCTGGACCATCATCATCAATTAATACAGTAAATTCACTAGTGTTGATCCTGGACCATCATCATCATTTAATACAGTAAATTCACTAGTGTTGATCCTGGACCATCTTCATCATTTAATACAGTAAATTCACTAGTGTTGATCCTGGACCATCATCATCATTTAATACAGTAAATTCACTAGTGTTGATCCTGGACCATCTTCATCATTTAATACAGTAAATTCACTAGTGTTGATCCTGGACCATCTTCATCATTTAATACAGTAAATTCACTAGTGTTGATCCTGGACCATCTTCATCATTTAATACAGTAAATTCACTAGTGTTGATCCTGGACCATCTTCATCATTTAATACAGTAAATTCACTAGTTTTGATCCTGGACCATCTTCATCATTTAATACAGTAAATTCACTAGTGTTGATCCTGGACCATCATCATCATTTAACACAGTAAATTAACTAGTGTTGATCCTGGACCATCATCATCAATTAATACAGTAAATTCACTAGTGTTGATCCTGGACCATCATCATCATTTAATACAGTAAATTCACTAGTGTTGATCCTGGTCCATCATCATCAATTAATACAGTAAATTCACTAGTGTTGATCCTGGACCATCTTCATCATTTAATACAGTAAATTCACTAGTGTTGATCCTGGACCATCTTCATCATTTAATACAGTAAATTCACTAGTGTTGATCCTGGACCATCTTCATCATTTTAATACAGTAAATTCACTAGTGTTGATCCTGGACCATCATCATCATTTAATACAGTAAATTCACTAGTGTTGATCCTGGACCATCATCATCATCATCATCATTTAATACAGTAAATTCACTAGTGTTGATCCTGGACCATCTTCATCATTTAATACAGTGTCATGTCATTACTGTTGAATTTGGATGAAAAATGAAAAATTTTATTAAAAATAAAAAGTGAAAAATGAAGAAAAGAGTAAAACAAGACTGGAGAACAGTCTGCAAAACAAGGTTCATAGTCAGGATCTGCCATTTTTATTTTAGTTTTACATGTTATGATTTTGTTTCACCACTATATGTCCTCATTTCTCCCTATCTTTTCTTTTGAGCTCAGTAATCTGCGTGATTGTTTTCACCTGTGTCCTTTCATGTCGTGTGTATTTAAACGGACTAATTTCTGTGTTTCTATTCTGGGTTATTGTTGATCTTAGCCCTTGTCTTTTGTACTTCTGCTCTGATTTTCTTCTTTATCTTTTTAAAATGTTTGAATGGTTAACATCTTGCCTATATTTAGTTTTTATTTTGGGAGATTATTTGACTCGTGGTTGTGACAGATGTTTGGCCTGTTGGTCTTTTTGTTCATCCATAACAAGTTTTATGTTCAAGTTGG